TATCCGGGGTCGGCCGCGGGGGCAGCAGCCTAAGCAGGGAGGCCCAGACGTCCCTCTCCCCACCTACTTGGGCCAGCTCCAAAGGGGGGGGGGGGGGGGTACCCCAAGGCGTTCCTTGGCCAGCAGAGAGACATCGTCCCTCCAGCATGTCCTGAGTCTTCCTTTAGGTATCCTCCTGGGTGAACGTGCCCAGAAAACCTCACAAGGAGGCATCATAATCAGATGCCTGAGCCACCTCAACGGCTCCTCTCGATGTGGAGGAGCAGCGGATCTACTACAAGCCCCTCCTAGATGATGGTGTTTCTAACCCTATCTCTAAGGGAGAGCCCAGACACCTTGTGGAGAAAACAAGTTTTGGACACTGGTTCTATCAGACCCTACCCAAGCTCGTGACCATAGATGAGGGTGGGAACATAGATCAACCAATCAAGAGCTTTGCCTTCCGACTCAGCTCTCTTTTCATCACGTTGTAAGGAGAAACCTGCTGACAAGTCAGCCACCAAGTCTGGTGGAGACAACCCATTCAGTATAAGGACCTGGGGTCTCATTTATCGAACATTGCGTAGAATCCTTACTAAAACCGTACTTAAGCTCAGCAAAAACATGTACATTCGCGAAGTAGGTTTGTGATCTATCAAACATGGAGTATGCACAGCTGCACGCAATCTCCGCTTCATAAATCAGACACTAAGGAGAAAGGTTCTCAGCTGCTTTTTAGTCACATCCCGCCCTCACCACGCCCACTTTCTGCCATAAATGGTCAGTGCAAAGTGCCTGGTGAACCTCATGCATATACATAAGCCGGCTTGTTGCAGCATTTCGATCACGACCGCGGATCAAGGAAGCGCTATTTCACAAGCAGAAGTTGAGGTACTTGTGGGTGAGGTGGAGAATTGAAAGGAAGTGCTTTTGCAAAACAAATAAGAGAAAATCCACGGAGTGGCACAGCGTTGCTGAAGCCGTCAATGCTGAGTTCTTCAGAGAGATCTGTGGCGGATATAAAAAATTATCCAATTGGGATTCGATCCCCAGACTCCTGAGTGAAAGTCACACACACTAACCAGTCAGCCCAAGCGAGATCTCCCTTGGCCAAGTAACCAGGGGGCATGATCAATTGGGTCACAGTGACAGGACGCTCACAATGACTACGTTTACATGCAGCCAATATCCGGGTTATGATCGGGTTAAGGTCGGTATTCGGGTTTCTGAGTTGATCAGAATAACCCGTTTACAAGCATAAATAGAAAGAGTTACCCCTAACTTGCATAACCCGATTTAAATGCGGACGTTGGGCTAGCGTCAGGACGTATGGACTACGTCCAGACGCAATATGCGTCATTTCCGGTTCTTCTTGTTCTGGTATCCGTGAAAACAACAACATGTTTCCCAGTTCGGAAGAGATAGCGACCGCGTTTGTTTGCGCTTTAGTTTCCTCGTCACTCCAAAAGTGTAATGCTGTGCCGCGACTCGCCATGTTGCTCCCAACTTGTTGTTTACTTCCGGTGTTCTGGCGCATACAAGACGTCTCACTACTCAAAAGACCAAGATTCCTTGCGAACAGAGCATGCGCAGAACACACGCTTTGATGGGGATATCCCGATATGCGTTTACACGACCAAACATTCGGGTTAGAAAAGGGTTACCCCAGGTGTAGTAACCGGGTTTTTAAAAACCCGGTTATGAGCATATCCGGGTTTTTGGCGGTGTTTACATGGACCTGCGGAACCGGGTTATTGTGAATATTTGGGTTTTAAAAGGGTTACTAGCTGCATGTAAACGCACTCACTGTCACAGACGCATGACATTCTGCCTCAATCTGCCCCCCTGCTGATTTTCAGCATTCCGTATTCTGCACTTCAGCCTGTGTGTGTGTGTGTGTGTGTGTGTGTGTGTGTGTGTGTGCGCGTGTGTGTGGGGGGTTCTTGTTCTGTGTGAAACAAAGCAGTACAAGCAGGGTCCGAAATTAAATTTTTTACTCACCGGCCAAGTTGGCTGGTAGATGATGAAAATCTACCGGCCAAGCATATTTTTTACCGGCCAAAATTCTAAATGATTTAGATCTACCTAAAGCATGTTATTCTATATTATGTTGATTCCAAACAGAGTGACAAAATAATTAAAACATCAATTAATAAGGAAAACAACTCTTTTGTCATTTTTACTATTTATTTATTTTTAGAGATGTTTTTATGAACTCTTTCATTGAAATCTAGTCAGACTCCTTGTTTTCTCTGTCCATGAAGTCTGGCCTCCTGCTTCTGACACCTTCTTTGTGCCAAAGCATTACAGCCTCATTTGGGTCCTAGTCCTTGATCTCTGGAGAAGACAGCTGCACCATGAGAATATCTGAAAGTGTGTCAGGGCTAGGGTTGTCACGGTAACCGGTGTAGCAGTAAACCCCGGTAAAAAAGTAGACAATAATAATAACCGTCTTGTTTTAAAAAAAAATATATTATCTCGGTGGATTACCGTGGCTGCGGTGTAGGCGCGGTGACCCTTACCAGCCACCGTATCATCTGCTGTAGTTGCCGGCGGCACATGCGCACTTTTTTGTTTATGACCAAAACTTTCTTTAAGCTAAAGCTGAAATAATGGCCAGAGGCGACGGCACTCGGGACACTTATTATCCCTCAAAGAAGACAAAGTCGGAAGTATGGGCATTTTTTGGATATTTGAAGAATGCCGAGGGACAGTTGTCTGTGAAAGGCAGCAACGCTACGTGGCCATCATAATGTAGCCATTGTCTCACGACTCCGCCGTCTCCAGTTCGCCACTTTTCACAAAATCTTCTGGTTGCCACTGGTCCTGGTGGTTTTTCTTCCAGTTCGACGAGTTTTCTTTTGGAAGGCTGGCTGACTCCAGTTAAAAACCGCCACATTTCACCGCTAGTTTTAACACAAAGCTAACTGCTAACTTGATAAACTGATTGAATGGGATAGGTGGAAATGACGTTGGATGCGGCGTTCACGTTTCGCGTACGTTTGTGTACGTTGCCTGCAGGCGGGAGGAGTATCAGAAATCCGTGGAAGATGACTGATAAACATAACTAATTTGGTGCAAATATTTACTCGCTATGTGGCAGATAGAGCTCAAAAATTTACTCGCCAAATGGAGCAATTTACTCGCATTTGGCGAGTGGCGAGTGTTAATTTCGGACCCTGAGTACAAGGGATAATGCTGCAGGATTTCATAATTTTATCCTTCTCAGCAGCAGCACTGCAGGTGCTCTCCATGTCCAACATGTGCGTAAGCCAGGGCCTTAGTCAACTTAAAGTTGCGCACATTTTCCAGCTAAGTTTTCTTTCATAAATCCCAAAGTTTGGGTGGAAAGTTGCTTACGCAGTTTCCCGACCCGTTTTGTGCGTAAGCAAGCTTGATAAATGAGGCCCTTGAAAACCAGTTCATCTCATTGTGGACGTCAAACTAGCAACCAGGGTGATTTCAACCACTCATAAACTAGATCCCTCTTCCTAGAGAAAACTTAATGACATACTAACCCAGGGGTCGGCAACCCGCGGCTCTTCCATCCGTCTGATGCGGTTCTCTGTGCTTGTAAAATAATGAATGGATTTTTAAATAAAAAGTTTTATATTTTAGTGCCTTAATTTTATATGTGCATGCCAATTCTAAATGTAAAGATTGTCTGCATAAACCTGAACAGGTCCAAGGTTGACGGGTCACGCTTGTGCGTAATCATATAGGCGCTTTCTGAGCTGAAGAGGATGTGAGATTCTGGGATTCTCCTCAGACGGATCCTGAATGCGTCGCCACATTAGAGACAGGAACAAGCGCTATTCAGCCAAATTTTCATAATCAGGGAACATTTTCTAAGTTGACAGGTCTTTTTGAGAGATAGGGTTTGGAAAACACTCGCTTCAGTGGGAGGAACCTTCCTGCATGCGCTCTGGTTCTGTGACGCACTCCAAGCCTCTCTCCACATCTTCAGCTCGCTGTGCACCCTACGTACGCGCTGACAGCGAGCTGCGCTGAGCAGTGTCCAGCTCAGATGTTCAGATGGGAAACTTTTCTTGAGTGATTTAGCTACATCTGTGATGTGCGTAATGAATAAAATGTCAGTTCGTCTGCATTCTTTCTCCGTCAAAATAAACGGTCAAATACGGGAACTATCCGGTCAACACAAGCCCTGCTTTTGTTTTCTTGTGAAAATTGTTGCAAAGAGATAAAATTAAACTTGATTACCACCAGAGCCATATGTCCGTCACTGTAAATGAGGGAAAAACAAATTGATCGGATCCTTTTCTTACCTTCCCCACCTACAAAGTTTAATTACAACAATCAAACGTGACAGAGCCTGGATTTGTATTCTGAACAGTTTAAAATGTGTGACCAAAGTGGCACCTGCTCAGTAAAACCACCAACAGGGTGAAAAATATCAAAATATGGCAGGCAGAGACGGGCTACAACTTCTGGATCCATTTTATACAAATCATTTTACTGATTATCTTCTGTTGAAAGATGACTTTGACGTACACGAGCGACCGGTATTGGCTGCTGTCACCTGTTGTGATTGGTTAAAGCAGCTCTCTGCTGTGGCTCCCAGTGTTTTCTTTATTGTGGGAAACAGGTAATAATGGCTCTTTGATGGGAAAAGGTTGCCGACCCCTGTACTAACCAAAGTGTTTTAAGTGTTTAGCATTTTTCATTATTTTTTATTTTATTTCGATTTCAGGTTTTTAATTCTATTTAGTTTCAACTGAGTTGTCTTTTACCATTTGTTCGATCATTTTAGTAAACAAAGGTCAAATTCAATCACTGCCTCCTCGTCTTGAAGTCCTGCTGTGTTAAAATTAAAGTTAGTTCAATAGTTCAAAAGCTCTGGAGCTTCTCTCCTCTGTGAAGAAAGAACCAGAGAGGTTCGGACCGAGCTGCAGCAGCAGACTAAAACACAACACGGACATTTTTTAATGATAACCCCTCATGGGAGAGGCACTGTAATGTCCCACCATGCAGTGATGATATATTCATTCATCCACCAGTACCTGTGTCCATGCTGTCCAGGTCCAGGTGGTGAAGAACACACGATGAATCAGTCCCAGATCCTGAAGTGGTAGCAGGTTTTCTTTAGCCGTGTTTAGCTAACAGCTGCAATAGAAACAAAGCAGGAGAGCTGATTAAGATGCTGCTTCAGAACAACGCAGGAGATTAAAGATCCAACGCTTTGGTTCTGATCAGCTGAGGACAGATCCAGTCTGGAAAAGAGAACCTTTGGTCACCTGAGTTCACGGAGTAGAGCTAACCGCCTCTGAATACTCTCCTCACACACCAGAACAAGCTAGCTCGGATAGCACTTTCCGGTTTCTGCTTCTTCCAGTGGTCGGTGACCAGCGTAAAGGTGCACTACCGCCACCTGCTGGACTCTTTGAGCTCTGATAAGCTAAAGAAAAAAAAAACCAAATAATGCATGGTAGAGGATGCAGAAGACGTGACCTAATGGAGACTGGTGATTGGCTGATGAGACTTCTGAAGGTGACAGCCCAAAAGACTTCTGAGATTATTTTTAGAGTCATTACGGTAATCAGGAATATCATTAAGATTGGAGAGGATCAGGTGCATGATCAGCATGATTATCATGTGGAGAGATCCTGGTGAGAGATAAAGGTGACTGTATTAAGGCACACTGTAAACGGACTGTAAAAGCATTGGACCAAGGTTGAAACTCGCTTTACACTGGGAATGCTGGCCAGAGCATCACTTAAAGCCCCTCGGAATATAAAGAAGACGGGCTGTAATTGTAGTTTTGCACCTGGCATCTTTATTATAGCCCATAGGTTAAGACAAGTAAATCAGGATAGCAGCTGATAGACATGATAGCTCATGGGTGTGGTTTTCCTGCAGAATGACAAATATAACGTATTTATAACTTACCCTTAATAAAACAATTAACACACATCAGAATATTAACCTTCCGCCACCACATCATCAGTTAATAACCATACTAAACAGTCAGAGGTCACTAAATCACCATCATCTTCTCACATAAAGCCACTATATTAAGCTTTGTCAAGTTACCCGTGACATCGTCAGTCAACTTCCGGTCTGTGAACAAAAGGGTGCTTTTGTTCTCCCTACTGACATGGGTACTTCCGGTGGCGGGTTAGCTTAGCTCAGATACTCTGAACCAACTCCCGTTGCCGCACCGTAACAACACCGCCGTACTTCTCTACATTCCCGTATACTCATACAAAACACATTCATGCCTCCTCGTACGACCAAGACGCCAGCAGACCGGCCCCGATTGGTCCCGAGGTAAGGTATATCAACAGCGTTTTCACAGGGACAGGAAATGCATAATAATTAACCCGATAGCCATAATCATTCCAACATTGCACTTACTGTTCATCCACGCACACACTCGACCATGTCCCGGTGCTATCCCCCAGGCAGCAACATACCGCAGAGAGGAACCCAGGACACAACCTAGAGCTACGTAAACCTCGAGAGATATGAACCTAAAGCCAATTTATCTCTATCTCTAGCCAGACTTCCGGAGTAAACTTCCAGCCAACTACAAAATAAAGGTAACAAAGGGAATTCGTTCCCATAACGCAAGACTTTGAGGGCTTTTCTACAGTCACCCTCACACCTTTACCTGTCCTGTTTAGTCAGGTAGGATGGATCTCCTCTTATATACTCCTCCTGTTGGGTAGTTCGTGACCATGAACAGGTTGCATCAGGCATTAGTACCAGAGTGGACTGGCAGAGAGACCAGAGACAAATAACAGAAACACCCAAACGAAAAGGTGAGGTCAGAGCATTAGACTATACAGCCTCTGAAATTCCACCTGATCTGAATGGAAACCACGACGACGTCTTTAGATGAATAGTTTCTGTCCTGGAAACATTTCTCCATGTTTTTGTCCTTCATGTCTTTAATGAAACTAAATGAAGAACTTCTCTGACTCATGATGCTCTGAGCTGAACTATTAAACTCTCTAACTCGTTGTCTGAGCCTTTTGATTTGGTTTGATGCAAATAATGCAGAGATGGATGAGAGTGAAGAAGAATCCATCAGCAGCAGCGACACCATCACAGACATCAGCAGCAGCAGCTGTGAGTTTGGACCAAAGGAATAAAGACAACTAGAAACAAAAGGTTGGTTTGTAATCTCATGAGCTCTAAATTCAAATCTCAGATTAAATTTGATTTTATTAATTATCCACATCAGAAATGTTCTTAAAAGTCTGGATAAAACTGGTCTGAGTTTATTTCCTACAAGAAAATTAACGTAAATTAAACGTTGGTGGATGACCTCATTTATCACCATACAAAAAAGACACCATGTGTTTTTCTGGCCTTATTTGGTCATATTTCCTGTATTCTAATAATAAATTAACTCCTTACACATAAATGTTAGGAATATGAAATATCCTGATGTTGAGACTGAAAAGTCACCAACTGGGTGCTAAATTATTTAGCTTATTTGTCAAGTAAAATAACACGTGAAGTCCTGAAGGACATCATAAATAAATAAAGTAAAATAAATAGATAAACCTAAGTATTGGTGAGAAAAACTGTGTCGCTGTGAGACATTAAAGGCTCTGGGACACAAAAACATCAGACTCCTGGATCTGATGGCTGTTTTCTAGTTTCTGGGTCTGAGTCTGTTATCAGGGTCTGGGTCGGTCTCCAGGCTGTCAGAACCAAGGAGCAAAGTCTGCCGGCCAGAAGTGAAGTTAACCAGGAAATCCACCCCAATCCACTAGGTGCTGGCACCAAAACAGAGGGTGTTTCTCAATGCCAAGGAACCTTGCCTTGATGTCTTGGCCCCGCCCCGGTTGCCTAGGAGATACGTCATCGGGAGCCACCAAGTCGTGTTCCAATGTTCATGTTCTACCGAGGCGTGTGTTCTCCGTTTGTTAGCCATTTAGCTAGCTGAGCGAGGATACACGGGAGGTGTCTTGTAGCCTAGCCTTGGTCGAAAATTACCCAGAATACGCCGCGGTATTTTCAAAAGGATGGCGGATCAGAAGCCGGCAGCTACTTCGGGGAAAATTTTCAAGTTTAAAAGTAAGTCAACTAAAATGTTTTTTTTAGATCCAAAGAAGTTATCCATGGTTGATCAGTTTTTGCAGCTTCGGTGGCTAGCGGGTAGTAACTCACTTATATTTTTAATTTAAGAAACATATACACAATTTAACTTGTTATATATTTATACTGAAACTATTATGTATAAAATATAACGTTATCTCCCGTGTCACGTGACGTTACGTGACCGCCGTGGAAGCCACGGTCATGTGATGCAAGTCTGTTCCATTTAACCATTTTCTTTGACCTAGGAAGGACAGTGTCCTCGTAAGCAAGGAGCCTGGCCTCGCAAGACATGGCCTCGCAAGGCCAGGCGCCTTGACATTGAGAAACACCCAGAGTAAGTTAACTCCCATGATTAAAATGCCAATTTCAGAACAGAAATACACATTTTTACAGTCTGATTCAAAATTTTTGGAGTAAAGGAACAACTGGCCATTTTGGCTCGCTTTTAGCACCCCCTAGGGTTCTGTTAGCAAAATGTATTTCCTTGCTGAGTGTTTGTCTTTTTAACATCTTCATCTAACAGCTGAAATGTCTCCTCAGCCTTCATTAGTTTCTGTAGGAGTGATTCATCACTAAATCAAACAAACCAGCTCTGTTCACAATCTAAAACATGCAGGAAACGTGCCGGAAGCAGACAGCAGATATGTTAGCTCCACTTTACTAGGTCTAACAGACCGGACCGGTGTAGGTACCGGATCAGCTCGGGTCCTGCGCCTGCCGACGACGTCACACTGTGATAAATCTACTTGGCTTTCACACACAAGTTTTGGAAAGAGTTTACCAGTTTATTCTTGTTTCTTACCAACTAAATGTTTTCTTTAGAACTGTAACTGTAACTTTTGATAGATTGAGGACCAACAGAACTTTAAGACAGAGAGGAAATTATCTCTGTCTGGCCCCAAAACAATTTCTAATCTGAATCTGGTGCCCTTGAGCCTGTAAGGCTGCAAACGAATACTCCCCCTCAGAAGAATTGTGGAATGCTGCCATCGCTATGGCAACTCTGTCTCCTATCCCAGCCTGGGTGGGACTGCGGGCTGTGAAGGCCGCCGAATCGTTACAGGAGCCACTGTGCCCTCCAAACCTCAACGACCTCCTCCCCCTATCCACACTGAGGTGACATTCGCTGCTTATCGTGGCTGCATGCACTGATGTGTGGAGAGTCCCCAACCCTACCTCCCCACCTAGTGGACACTTATGTTGTGTGATGTATGAAGTCTGTTGCATCTCTGTCTGAGGTGTTTTTGCATAGCAAAGCTGCCCTCCCTGTGGAGGGTAACTCTGAAGTGCCTTTTTTTCCCTCCACCTGAACCAATCCTCAGGGAACCCTCTGATCTCAATTAAGGTAGCGTGACTCAGGGTTGCGAATGACCACAGTCACCAATTCTTGTCATGTGTCTTACCCATGTATGTCTGATCTCTGAATTGTGTGTACTGAAACTCTAATTTCCCGCTGGGATTAATAAAGTATCTTTGAATTGAATTTGTTAACAAAACACCATATTGCCTTTGTTTTGCAAAGAATGCAAAACTACGTAAAACCAACATCAGACTGTCTGAAAGCACGACAGTTCCTATATGTGAACAAATGTAAGTGCATTTGCATAATTAGCAGCCCTTCCAATTTAAATGAATGTACAATTTAAATGAATGTGGAATTCTTCTGTATATTTGTTAGTTTTTATGTAACTAAATCCATTCATTCATTTAAAATGTTGCTTGCTATTTGTTCAGTAAAGTTCTTTTATTTTTATTTCACCCCATTTCATGAAAATCAGAGCTGCTGAGCGTCTTTGTTTATCAGTTGATATTTTTGCTTTTGTTTTATGTTGACTTTGGCAATATAAACATTTTCCTTGAAAAGTGTTAGTTTTTGGACTACAGGACTACAGCAGCAAGGACTTCAACCACAAATTTGTTCAGACCAATCAAAATCTTCAGTGTCAACATGCTAACGTAACTTTTACAAACGTAGTTTTGTAACTTCCGTAAGTCCTACGCTCAGCCTATATTCTAGTGCGACATCATCGGCAGGCGCAGGACCCCCAGCCAATCTGGCAGCCCGAGCAGACCTGGTACCTACACTGGCACTCTGAAATTGCAAATGCGGTATTCTGGCCACATAGGGCGATAGGGGTCTGAGTGAAATTTAGTTAACCCTGTAGAGGGTTATTTTAGATCATACTGGTTCTTCGTATGGCTTTGATAAATCTACAGTCATGGCAACTCTTAGGGGGTGCATTTTTGTAACTCTTCCAGGTTACACCAGGTTTAGGTGTAATTAAATGCTTGAAATCATGAATAATAAGATTTGTTTGACAGCTAGCATGAGCGTCAGAGCTAGTGTAAGCAGCTAGC